AGGGGCTTGCTGGGGTCGATGTATAACAGGGCTTGAATTTACTACTTTTCAGTCACCCACACGAGATGCTTCCTCCCTTCATTTATCCCATAAACCTATGGTGGGACCCCCGCCCGACCCTGTAGCTGTTTCCCCTTCTGTGTCCTCTATAAGCTCACCGTCTATTTGCTCGTCATAGTCATCCCTCCCCGGAGAAATGCCTGAACCTGGGGGTGGCGTTGGAAATGAAGGCTTCACTTCCGCTGTGCAGCAGGGGCAACACGGCAGTGCCTCTGTTGCCACTCTCCTTCCGCATGTTGACCGTGCAACCGCCACGGGCTGGAGAGGCACCTCCACCTCTGCCCCACAGCAGGAGCAAGGCGGCTGCACCCTCCCTGCTCGGGGTTGCCTCATGATGGTCTTGGGGCCAAGGCTGCCGCACAACCTGGCGAAACTAACATGCCTCCCCTGCTGCCATGGCAACCACCTGGGCGCTGCGCCCCTGCCTCCACAGTCGGCAACAGCGCATCTGGGGCTGCCAGAACAGCGGCTCCAGCAGCACCGCTTGGTGCTCTATACAGCACGGTCTCAACTGCAGCCGTGGGCATTGGTATAAAGCCAGCATCCCCCCCTGCTGCCACTGCCCCAGCTCCGGCTCGTCCTGGCTCTGCGCCTGCCGCAAACGCCGCCACAGGGTTGGCGGTGCCGGCACATGGAGTGCAGCGGTTGGTCCCCGCAAAGTAAGCAGCTCCCGCCACTGCAGCTCCAAGGGCAGGCAGCGTGGCCATGGGCAGCTCCACTACGAAACCGCCCGCTGACCATGCTGTCGCCCGGCTGGCAAGCCCAGCCGAAAGCCCAGTCACTGAGCCTGTGCCACCACCCCCCGAGCCTGGGTGAGGTGGCACGGCTGTGAGCAGCTCCGCCACAAACTTGGTCAGAGCGGCGGTCCTGGCAAACTTTGGCACGGCTGGCTGCACAGCTGCTGAAGCCACCCCAGCAGCCCCGCGCCACTCAGTGCACCGCTCCGTGGTGGCTCCAGTCGGCAGCGGCCCCGCCGCTGCCGGTTGTAGGCGTGGGGGGGGCGGCGAACGCAGCATATGGCTGTACTGCAAACCCAGTGCCATGCCTTTCTACACCACATGCTTCTGCTGCACTGTCCCCCCCAAGGGCTCCCCCTAACCCTAACCCCATCCCCCGCGCCAGGCGGTCAATGGGGGGGCTGGGGTTGAAGGGGGGGGATTGAGGGGAAAGGAGTGAAGGGGGGGGAAGTCCACTCTCCCGGGTGCATTTGCCTTTCTGTAGTGCACATTTAAAGCTATCATAATGTCCTTCCATGGCTTTTTCAATGAGCTTGTTCCCTATTTTCCTCCAAGATGATATTTGATAAAGTCCAGTTAGAGGTAAAGTAGGTTCATGTAAAGAAATCCAATATAATAAGTCCCATAACTTGCTTTCTTCTATGTTTATGTTCTGTTCTTGTAAAAATCAAGTGATAGCTTCATCTGTTTGTTTGATTTCTGGAGTAATTCCCTCCTGATGGGCAAACCACCTTCCCATATTCGTCAAAGTGTTTTGGTTACCTCTGTGTGCTGAAACTCTGTTGTCCTCTTTTCGTCCTTTTTGTCCCTTTTTTGCAGAGGTAACCCAGCGTACTGAATTCTTCCTTTTCTTCCTTTTGATTTTGGCGATACGGACACCTCCAGACAGGTTCCCCAGAGCTTGTTGCTCCTGGTTCCCAGTAACCTGCTGTAGTCCCTGTTCGGGCACCATTTGAGGTGCTGTTTAAGGCATGAACCCCGTTCAGACACGAACCAGTGCCAGAGCAGAATTGAGGTTTTTTTTCAAAACACTTAGGTTTAAATACAGCGCTTAAACATGTCACATGATCTTCCAACCAATGACAATCAAGTATTGTTTGAGCATGCGTGAGAGCTCGGAAAACTACAACTCCCATGATCCCTTGTTACATATTACCTTGGATGTAACCACACGTTACTGTATAGAGAAGTGACTTGAGGAGAAATCATTAACAGTTCTCAGATGCCTAAGTGAAATCACCCTTCACTTCCATCTTATCAGCAGTTCTTATTTAATCTGAAAGTAGTGTCAGGGTTGAAAGCAAAATCTGAAAAAACCTTAATGTAAACAATTGAATACGAAACCCCACAGAACTAAAATGGTACAAATGTCTTTGATTGTATATTAGTTTTATAGATTTTCATGGTCTTCTGAAGAAGATATGGAACATACAGAGGATACAACTACGTCATTTTTAAGGCAACAGGCCTTCATGGTACTGATAATCATGCTCACCTTCACTTCTTTAGAGAGAGTTTTGTATGGGAAGGTACTGTGATATGACTTACCTGGTCATCTCCAGTGTCTTGTTTCTCTTCTTTGCAGCACAATTTCACCTCCTTCCCAGCAGACTCATCCTTGCCTCTTGTGGTAGTTTAGTCTAGGCCTTCCTTGGTGACCAGTTTGTAACCAAGGAAGGGCCCAGATTTACCCAGTATTCCCTACAATTTTTACATAAGCCAGGCTATAAGAAGAAAGGAGGAAAGGCCTTCACTCTCTTTCCTTCTGGCGACTTGGAGGTGCGGGTTTCCCTGCTGTTGAGTCTGTCGTACTGGAGAGTGAGGCGTGGTAAGGCCTTGCCGACCTTGGGAGACAGGGGTTGCCGGCGATCATTCCAGCGTGACTTTCTGTTGTCCCAAGGAGAGTAGTAACATAGTCTTTTGCTAATTCTTTTATTTGCTAGATCTTGGGCCGCTGATTGGGATATATATATATTTTATTTTGGTTTTGTTCCTTTTTTCCCTTCCCCCTTCCCTTTCCCTTTTCCTTGTGAAATTGTATATATATTTCAATTGTATATAACTGTAACATAAGTGTAAATATATTTATATATATTGCTTTAGCTGTCTCTCTCTCGTTTCGGTTCTCTTGTTTTTTTTTTCCCTCTTCTCCCTGAGGTTTGGGGGGGGGTGGGGAGGGACTTCTTGTGGTAAGGTTTGGAGACTTGGCAGGGAGCCAGCTTCAAACCATATCACCTCTGCAGGCAGCATCAGCTGCTCTGCCCCACATCCATGACCAATAACAAACACATAGGAAGGTAATAGTTATACAAACATACATGCATGCATGTAGGTACACGTGTGCATGTGTGTGTGTGTATGTGTTGTATTTATGTTTTTTGTTAGATCTTCTCCTACTTTCCTATCTGTCAAAGCTGCACCACTTGTCTTCTAAAGCACTGGCCTGGAAACTTTTAGATATGTTCTTGTCTTTAACTACAGGTAGTTTCCCAAGAACTACTTCTCCCAAGATGGGAATACTCATGTACATAGGAAGAGGATTAAAGTGCAGATTTTTTATGAACTCAGACTATTTTCCAACTATTATTGTGAAATAACTGAGCAGGAAGGATTAGAAAGCTGGCAGAAGTCCCAACCCTCTTAAAAGCAGGACAACAACTGAAAGCATTTAAAAGATCAGGTTTGAAAGTAAATCCTCCATCACACTGGTAATGCAACAGCCATTCTGTAAAGACTGGGATAAATATGCTGCTGTAGTTAAATGCTTCATGGCATCAGGTGGTGGCTAACAAATCTAAGGGATGACCAGGGCTGGATACATAATCTTGCTGAGTGTGATAGTCTGCTTTCCTTTTGAGTAAACCTATCCTGTAATATTCCCAAAGCAACCTTGGGATCTGATGGCTAGAACAGGAAATTATTTCCTCACCCTCAGGGAATACTTTAATGCTATAAATGAATGACTCACTTTTTCAATCAGGACAATAAAAAGGCAGTCTTGAGCTGAGTTTCAAAAAGGTATTTCTGATTTGAGCATTGTGTTTCATGAGCCTACTATTCAGTCATCTCATTCTGATTTTTCTGAGTGCATAGAAAAATATGGCATAACCTGTGTTTCTAAGTAAAAGGCATTTCAATGGAAAATAAAGGGGTTTTATTTAAAATTCACTGCAACAGACTGGTCTTGGCAATGATGAAGATGGGGAAATCATAAAAATCAATTTTGGGGGTTGTATGGTTTGGAGGAGTTTGAAGGGGGGGGTGTTGTTTTTTATTTTGCTTTTGTTTGTTTGCTTGATTTCTTTTCAGTTAGAAATTTTAATCGTGACTCAAAAAAATCTTAGGAGCCTATGCTTAATTTTTTCAAGAGTGCATTTATGAGCTTGAAGATTGGACGTTGATTCACCTAAACACAAGTGATTTACACTCTGTAGAGTAATGAATGTGCTTTTCTCTCCCAGGCATTGATGGGGAAAGCTCACAGTTCTTTCAGGTGGTGCCTTTAGAGCATTTAACATGCTTGGCACTTTGCAGAACTGCATATGATACATAAAGGATCCAAGGGTGTTGCACAGTTTGCAGGACTGGCAATTAGCACTTTGTCCCTTTGGCCTTCTGTACAATATGCTATTTATGAAAGGAACCTGGACTAATTTAAAGTATGCTATGCACACTGGTGCTTTTGAATTGCAGCTGCTGAGTGGGGGAAAAGTGAAGACAACCTCAACTGTAAGTAATCACAGTTTTTAAAGGTGTTTTAATAAAAAGGCCTAGACAAAAGCATTTTTGTTGCAAATGAATACTAAGAGAAGGGCAGTTCCCACCACTGAGTAGAGTATTTCTTCCAGAGTTTTTCTAATGTCAGGCATGTTCGTATATTTTTCCTTCAATTGAAACAACAGCTCCATCCAAAGGTATAGGAGAGATTGGTCTCTACTGGCAAACAACCGGCAGCCATGGAAAACTCCTTGCCTGGCCCCATGCTTGTATAACCAGTTGTGGCCAGACATATACACAAACACTGCAGTCATTGCTGAAACTCAGTGCTGGAGAGACTGTCCATCAGTTTTCATGCTTACCGTGCTGCTCCTGGACACATTGCACTTTTACCCTCAGCTCTCCCCTGGGTCCCTGACATCATCAGTCTTGCTCCCTCCCCTTGTCATTTTCTTTGTGCCTCTAGACACGGTAGCTACAGCTCACCTTTTGGCTCTCTGTGCCAAAGCTTTTGAATCCTCCCCTTCTTCTTTGAGAGCACCAGCATTTGTGGCTCTTGGTTATCTGGCAGGAACGGTGCCTCAGCCTTGAGGCGATGCCCGTCTCCCCTGCATTCTGATTCCTCTCCTTTGGCCTCTGCAACTCGTGGAAGAGGAAGGAAACAGGATTAGAATCCACTGGTGGGTCAGGGACTGGTGATGCTGTTCCCCAGCCTCCCAGAGGACGCCTGAGCATGGCGTTGCCATAGCGACGGCTCCTACTGCTCCCTAGATAAGACAGGCAAGAGCGTCAGCTGCAGCCCCAGCCCCTCCAGCGAGCCTCGACGCCAAACTGCACCTTCCTCACCACCTCGCACCGCTTTGTAAGTACTTCAGCCACACACTCCCATGCTTCTCTCCCGGCTGGTTGGCTTGGTTGGCTTCCTGATTTTAATCTCTCTCTCTCTCTCTTTTTTTTTTTTTTTTTTAGCAGTAACCACCAGCATGGCAAATTGCCCTGTCACCTCTGGGGCTCTGGGGACTAGCAAGAAAGGGTCCCACTCAGCAGGGACTGGGCTTGGGATGGTCCCATTTGGAGAAAATTGGGGTGTGACTGCATTGAGGCTGGAATGCATGGATGGGGTCATGGCAGGGAGAGTACTTAAGAGAAAACTGCTTTGACTAGCTTTAACTGCGGGGACGGTTCACAGGCAGATAATACAATCCAGCAGAGTGGGAATTGGTATCAGGACTTCTTATCCCACTACTAAGGTTGGCATGTCCAAGGGGTTAATTGGTACTTTAAGGAAATAATTAAGGAAGACTTTGTATTTTTTATTATTTCCAAAGGCAAAAACTTTGTGACCAGAACCTGTGCAAATGTATATCACAATTTTTCAGTCAATCAAAAGTTCAGCTGTTGTTATTTTTATTTATTTTACATGTTTATGGGTGATATTGGGAATCAGTCTGCAGCCCAGCCAAGGCTTTTGAAATAGTGCCCAGAAGCACACTCTCTGTGAGAAGAAACTGCTCCCAGACAATTCTGTGGTATTTCTGTATCCGTGTTATTAGTAGTAGCAAAGTTTTGGGGTGGAAGGAGGCACTCAGATCCAGCTTTCCAATATCTAAGTGTTTGCTAAGGAGAAATAAATATGCTTTAGAAAAGTAAAAGTCAGACTAATCTGAAAAGAATACCTGGAGAGAGCAGCCTAGTGCCTAAATAACTGAAGAAGAAACTCTGTGTATTAGCATAAAGCTGTCTTCTGTGCCCAGGAAGGCATCACTCCAAGAGGGTAACATTGTAAAACTTGTAAAGAAAAGTTTGGAATGCAACACAAGAACACCCAGACTTTCTACTTTTAGGACATCTGTTTTCTACTCTGACTGCAGTAGACTGGTTGTCTTGCTTTATTTTTGACTTACCAGGAAGCAGTTGCAATCGGGCTAGGATAGGAAGGGGTATGAGGTGCATATTTGCTGATAAAGGTGCCAAGTCTGCCTGCTGAGTGAAGGTGTAAGAAGCCAAATGTAGCCTGGTGGTGTACCATCCCCCTTGGCCCCTGAGCTGTTTCGCGTGATTTCTGTGTTGGGAAGGTCGATGTGAGATGGCTACCTCCGGGGGATAGTATCTTACTCCTTCTTTATGCATTTGTAAACGACTTAATGCAAATAGGGAACCTACTTGCACTATAGGGCCCTCTGCAAAAGACATGCTATAGAAGGAAGGACAGGTCTGTCTTTGCCTCCCACATAGGTTTAGGGAGGCAACAGAAGAGCAGGGAAGGATGCTGGGAGCCTGCCTGACCCTCTTTGCTCATGGGCTCATTTCAACCAGACAGAAAGGGGCAAACCAATTTAAAATATTTTAATAATCAAAATCTGACAGGAAACCATAAATGTGCATGTGATGGGAGAAGAGGTACCAGTCTTAAAGAGCAAACCCTGATGCCAGAGTAGGTGTTTGGGCACGACAGCAATATGCTGCTTTTGGTCAAAGCTGGACTGTAACTATTGCAGTACAGCCTCTGTCTCATGTCTGCATGGGGAAGCACCCTGTAAGATATTCCTACTTACTCTTATTTCCAAGTATAGGGTACACCAGCAGCAGCAAGGCCAGGCCCTGCCTATGGGAATGTGGACAAGCATGCGTGCACACTGTCCCACTCCAGGGCCCCAGTTGCCTCTCTTTCTGCCTCTTCTTCTCTCAGCTCATGGCAAAATATGTTCTTACAAATTGCTCTGGCTTCAGAAGATATGTACATAGTGTCACACAGGCTTTTGTGGCAATGTGTATTACCAACTACCAAAATATACTTATTAAATTCAGATTGCCTGCTGCTACATAACTAGGATCGTCTCAAGAGTACTTTTATTTATGTAGCATCCTTGTCAACATGCCAATGGTTTCTTTAATAATTGTGCATGCCTTGGAAACTAGCACATGCTTTTCTTTGGGATTTTGTCAATTGTGGAAACAAAACACTCCTCTGAATAAGAAGAAAAAAAATTCACATACAACACCACATGGTCTACTGAAGTCTTCAGAAGCACAGTTTGTGGATACCTTACAAAGGGTCAGTTCAGAAATTCTAAGTATTCAACATACAAGGAAACCATGAGCCTTACTATACAATGGTGAGGAGTATTGACATCAATGCCCACATAGCCCCTGTAAACTTTCATAAGAATTGCATATCAGAACTTCATTTCTCCATCTTATAGATAAGAATGATCACCTATTGATGACTCATTTGAGAACTGCATTGTCCCTTGAGACTAGATACAACTATCCCTAGGTACCTAATTTTTATGTAGCACCTAGAACCATTCAAACCCTAGGAGAAGACAAGAAATGGAGATTTAACTTTCCCCCCAAGCCACTTCCATGCCTAGTTCAGGATCAAATGAAAAGTCCAGCCCTTTAGTTTTGTTCTGAAAGCTTTAGTTTTCTATCTTACAAGGTAGATTTTTCTCATGAGATTTCATCATAAGTTGGTTTAAATGTCACAGTATCAGATGGCCTTGAAAGATTTACATCATTTTAGTAGAAATATGTGAGTAGCTTTACTGAGTATTTCCTAAGCTCTAGGCTGATTACTTGTGAAACAAATATCTACATTAAACCAACTGTGCATTAAAATAGTAGACCAAAACCAGCTCCTTTGTCTGTCTCCAGCAAAATATTTTTACATAATTGAAGCCTGGAACTGGTTGCATTGGTGCCCTTTTTTATGGAAACCCACAATTTAAGCAAAGAAAAGAATCATATTATTTGCAAGCCTTTGTGTATTTTAAGACTATGTTAGTGAGCGATAGGATAGCTTTATTTGGGCACTTTAATGAAGCATGTACAGCAACTGAGAATTTTGAAAAAAAATAGAATGCACTTTAAGCTATCTAAAAATCCAAAGCTGACATCCAGAAAGTGAAAAGTTCAGATATTTTTCATCTGAATCACCATGTCTTACACGAATGTGTGCCCAAAGGAGTCCTACTGTTATATGACAGTGATTCAGCATGAAAGTTCATTTACATGAGGCTGAAGTAGCTTTTAGTCATACCTGCACTTTTCAGTATGCCTTATCATTCATTGTCCTCCTCTGTCTGTAACTAGAGCCAATCCTATAGAATGCCAAAAATTTTAACAAGGGGCAATAAAAAACCATATAGGCAAAACCAGAGTTTCTCTCAACTCTTAGGAAAGTATTTCAGGTGTCTCAATCAGCTCTATTTTTTTCTAGAAATAAGAGGCTCAAGGCAACTCCTTTAGTCCTAGATCTTTCCAGGGGTGTGGTACAGCCTATCTGCATTGTACCAAAGTCTCAGGCTAAATGACCATGGAATCCTAATTCATATGGAAAGATCTATAGCATTTCAGGAAGTATCTTCTGTTGAATATGATTTAGAGCTCCACTGTAACCATTACAAATGCATAAAAGATAATTGTGCATCATTATGTCAAGAGATATAATGAAGTGCAAGAAAAAAACACCTTAGTTCATCATATAAATAGCAAGCATTAGCTACCAAGGTGACTGATGGCAGCAGAGGTGCAAACTGTGCTAGTGTGAAGGCTAGGAAAAGTGTTGCACTTAACACATGAAAATTGAGAACAAGCTTCAATTCAATGGGGACACAGAGTCTCCATAGCAGGCTACCTTCACATGTAAAATGTTACTGGGGAATGTGTTTCCTTAGTTACAGGAGTATATTTTAATGGTTTGGAAAAGTACTATTGCAATGCTCACATACAGCAACCCTCCTTTGAAGGAGAGCTCTGTGTGTAATGAAACAGCTGTGAGGATGTAACAGCACTCACAGGTCCACACATTGTACCCAATGCATATACACCCAAGATGCCAAAACCCATGATATATTTTGGTAATTTGTCTCTTTTTATTCTTTTGTCACACAGACTGCCACAATGTGCAGTGTGTAAACACTTTTGTAAGCAAGGCAATGCTGGCTGAAGGGCAAACTTACAAAAGAAAAAAAAAGGAAGGGAAGTGTCAGAAGTTAGGCTGTAAAGCAGTATTTTAAAGCACTGAAGATGCCAAGGGCTTGGCATGTGTGACCATGAAAATATGAACATAGATCTAAGAGTTGTATTTTAGAATAATATTTTTCAAACTACTATATTAAGAAAAAACAGTGGTGCAATTTTCTCATAATCTGCATATACCAATCCAATATCAAGTCTCTTTACAAAGCTTAATTTTTATTAGGTGAAATAATTAATGAAACAACTTAATGAAATCTAACCAAAATTAACCATATTTTATAAAACATTTCCAGTCAATATAATTTATTACCAATTATATGGTTAAATTTTTCTACCTATCCTCAGCCTTTTTGCCTCAAGGCCTGTTCAGAAAAAAAGCCCATAGTGTCTGAAATGGTACCCCTGATTTTACTGGAAACCTTGTAAACAGAGTATCCTTCAGAAAAGAACATATTCACTACAATCATAGTATTTAGCCAGTGTGCCCTAATCAAATTCAATAAAATCAAATGGCATTGAAGAATAAAACTCCCTCAAATCACAAAATGCAGTGTGCACCTTCATTTGGTCAGATTATAAATTTTTGTTTTAAATAAAATTATGTCTGCTTCATTTTAAGCCATAGTTATAGTTTATTTATACAGTGGAGAAACAGAGCAACTGTACCATGCTAAGGTATATTCAAAGATTTCTTTATGTAGGGTCTTCTCAAGTAGGAGATTTTTCTTGATGTAAGTGCAAATGAAGTCTTCAGGTGGTATAATACTTTAGTAAATATGTGAGGCTGGATGGGGACAGTTCTACAGTGAACATCCAGAGGTCGAACCCTTTATACAGGCCTGATTCAGTAAGGTTTTAAGAATTTGTAGAATGTTACAAATTTTTGTAAATTTTAAATACTAAAATGTAAGGCAGTTAATCCCACATGTACATGAGTTGAGTAAAATTTTATGCTCCTAGGCAGTGTTACTCCACTTACTTTGAAGTCACTGGCATTTAAGACATGTTTTTCCATCCCCTGAAGAATTAGCTCAGTGCAACCTTTCATACTTTCTTTTGCAAATATTTATGTGACTGGATTTTGCTTTTAAGAATGAATTGTTCTTTATATAGATGCAGTCATAAAAATGAGGTTAATTCTCCTATTGTTCTGTTTCTTGTTGACAAACAACCACTGCAATTTACAGAGAAACAATAAGGTAATTTCTTTACCTCCAGCAAGATAAAAATAAAGTCCCACAGTTCAGTCTCCTATTTCCCATCATCCTTTTCACTGCTTTTCTCCAGCTGCCTTTGTTTTCACTTTTCTTTTATTTGCCTTTCCTTCTCTACCTCCCCTTCATTCATTTTCCCAATTCAACCTGTCTTTCATCCACTATTCTTATTGTCTCCTGTGTTTTTTTCTCTTCCTCATTGCCTTTCTCCTCCTTACAAGGAAGTCAGTCTGCTCTTATTCCCTGAAAATGGACAATAGGGGTCGTGCATAAGAAAGTAGCACAACTGTTGCTGGATGAAGGGAGATACCAAGATCACTTGGACTGTGCCTTCAGGTTGAAGGTCTTCTTCCTTTAACATTGCTTCTGTCATTCTGATCGGTTTCTGCTAAGCAACCGTAGAAACAATCAGCAGTGAAAAATGGTCAAATTTTCTTCTCTCTGTGATGGCATCTGTGGCAGCCCAGAGTTAGTGAGTCCAGGATCAACTCTCAGCTTGGGGGAGGTGCTGGGGAAGCTCAGGTAGGAGGATGGGCTTCAACACCGACTGCAGCTATGCGTAAAGAGGGGTAAACCAGCCAAAACAGCAATCTACTGAGACTTACAGAGCATGGACAAATAAACAGCCTAGTGAAATGGGTTTCCGTGCTCTTACCAAAGTGATGAGGAAGTCTACTTCCTGCTGGCTTTGGGGTCTGTGTGCACTGGTCATCTTTCTGAGGCAGCCCTTACACTTGGATCTTCAGGGTCTTCAAGGTCTCTTAGAGGAGCCGTACTTATAAGACTAACTCAACAGAATTCATAATTAAAGTTGGATCATATAATAAACATCAAATATGATCCTTAGTTTATATTTGAGAAAAAATGGAGAAGAAAACTAGAAAAACCAGAAAAAAACCTAGTATTTACTATGTGTATGAGATAGCACTTTCTGTATGATCAAAGTCAGTATTCTTCTGTAGAGCCAACCCATGCTACTGTGGGTTGCTTACAGCAAGGATGCATCTCAGCATGTGTGATTGAAATCAGGCCAGCAGACTGCATGACAGAGGGCAGCTGGAAGACAAAAGCTCATCATGATCTGGCTGGCAAGTGGATACATAACACCAGTATGATTGTGCTTTTTTTGTTGTTTTGGTTTGGGTTTTTTTGTTTTGTTTTGGTTTTGGTTTTAGTTTTGTTCGTTTGTTTGTTTTGGGTTTTTTTGTGTGTGTCTGTTTGTGTGTAGTATCTTCAAAGGAGGAGAAAAGCCTATTTCGATGATGTCAACAGGATATGTTCAGCCACTTGATATGCCAGATGACAGACTGGATAAGCGAGATTCACAGTGTAACCATTTAGGTAAGTGTTATTAGATGATGTCATTGCACTAACGAGAGGTGTTGCCTTCACATCATAAAGTCCTGTCCAGTGTCCACTTTTCCCCTCCAGTGATACAACTGAGCCCTGATGAAAACAGATAATTACACCTTCTGCTGACACTTCTGATGCCAGATGGAAAGGCAAAGAGCATTTTTCCTGCATATAAATATCAACTGAAATTCTAGAGTGAAATTAATTAAAGAGGAGAAAGCTAAAAGAGTCATTGATCTTTTTCCAGTAAAAAACATAGAGCAGTTTCTTCATTTATATCACGGTAAACTGAAAGCTAGGATATAGCTAAGCTTTACCTAAACACATTTTCCATATGCAATTTGAGTAAAAGATTTCAAGCATCCCATTTACCTTTATTGGGGCAGCTTTCTAAAAATGTTTCCTCCTTCATCATCAATCTGTTTCCTTTCTTGAACCTACTTTTTACACTAGGCATACCAGTCGTCTTTGCTCTGCCACTCTCCTGAATACCAGACTCCATACTTGACAGATGTGCTTTTTGCATATTCATGGTCTTTGCTTCTACTTCAAATGCTATTACTTCACTCCCATCTTGCAAAATTGCCCTGAAGATTTAGCTACCCAGAAAAAAAAATCTCTTTGCTCACTGTTACCCTTGCGATGACAATAATGAAACACAAAGGCAATTTCACTTGCTTGTTGTGGCAGTTTGAGCCACATTAGAAATCTAAAATCCAATTTTTAGGCTTTCCCTACCCCTTCTCAACAATTTATCCTAATACTGGAGAGAAACTTTCAGGTCAGAGGCTTCTGTAGGGGAAGGGGGAAGTATATACATTTATTTACACAAATAAATACTATACAAACTAAAGGCAACTATATATATATATATATTACATTACTATCAGTCAGTCCTTTCAAGCCCCTCCTTTAACTTTAGTCCAGGAGCAGCCTTTAAGGCTGATATGTAACACAGTCTTTTGCTGTGGGAGTGTTCTGGGCTCCTGAACACTCCCCCCTCACCAAGTTCCAGCAGTTGTTTGTTGTAGTCTCTCCTCCTCATGAAGTCCGAGAAGATAGCTTTGAGTCCTTGCTCTTCTGCTGCTGGTGATTCCTCCCTCTCAGTGTCTCACCTCGGTTCATAAGCTGCTGTAGTGTAGCTTAGTTTATCAAGCGTCTACATCCTGGAATCTTCATTCCTCCACATCAGTTCTCAGCTGCCCTCGGTCAGCTTCGGCAGGCAACTCTTGAGCTCTTGGGTCGTCTCCAATTTTGTCCGGGACTCTTCTCCCAAGCGCCAGGCCTACTTCCACGGCTCAGTCTCTTGGCTCAGCTTTAATTCTGAGCCCCTCCTCCACTTACAGTGGAGGGAAAGGAAAAAAACCCCCCTCTACAGCTTCACTGCAGAAAAGGAGGGGGAAGAGAGGGCTTGGCTGCAAAGCCCGCCTCTTTCCTCTTACCTCAGGTGCTGTGAATCTCTTCTTTCACAGCACACACTCCAAATGCTGACTCTAATTCTAGCCAAAGGCTCTCCCCCCCGGAGGGGAAGAGAGGGAGCCCAGCCACCCCCTGGCCTTGTCCACCTACATGCAGCAGACACCAACAGCAAAACAACCAAGACTGCCCTGCCAACCGTTTCCGGTGCGGTGATATATGATTTTGAGCAGAAGTGAAAAACATGGACAGTGATTGGCTCTCCAGGGAACAGTGTCCTGGCACCCAATCACTTCTGAGCCCCTCGAGCTCTCAAGGGGGGCCAATTTCAAACTATGACACTTGTCAAAAAAAGTGTCTCACCACAGGTAAGCAGAATTTTATAAATTTTGTTTATTTGTCCCACAAGGAAGGTATCCTAGTTCTGTCATATCACATGGCATTTCTAACCACAGGCACCATTTTTACAATCTGCAGGCTCACAGACATAACACGTCTTAAATAGTGTTCAGAGAGCCTGGAATGAAGTTGCGCTTGCATCCAAGTCTGCAGTCAGGGGTTGGGTAAGGGTGTGGGGAACCCAGACAAAGGCAAACAAGCAGCTTTTAAGAATTTAGAGCATTGGTTTGTGTGATGATAATAATGAAAGGTATCGCAAATGAGTAGTTAGAACATTTAAAGAATCACTGTCAAAGTCATGGCAAAATACAGGCTTTAATATGAATTCATGAGAGTGCGAGTTAAATGGCAAGGTTCATTCTATTACTTACTACATAGATGAAGCATACATAAGTAAATCGGATTAGAAGCAGTTTGGAATAATTTACACAGAGACTGGGGATGCAAGAGGGTTAGAGCGCAGAGGATATGGATACCAGAAAAGGGTGCAAAAGCACCTAATCATTGACTAACTTAACATTTTAAGAAGTGATTCAATAGGATTTGCTACAATTATAACAATGAGTTAATTATAAACTCAAAATAACAACATTCATACCATAATCAATTCACTTGCATGCACACAGGGATCTATGTGTGTAAAGGTACTTATCAAAAATTCCCTTTAAGCTCAGTGAAATATTTATATCAAATCCCTTAGCATTTCTCAACAGGCATGGGCTGGCCCTGAAGCAGTGTGTGTGTGTGGAATCCACCTAGACCTCGTCTTCAGCGATGATGTTTCAAGTATTGCGAACTTGAGGGTTTGTGAGCTCCGAGAGGCATCCCACTCAAATGGAGTTGCTGGTGCAGCCCACTGCTTTCTGGGAGAGCTCAAACTCCGGGAGGCCTCACTTAGCACTGCTGTTTATAGGGTCACAACATAATTTTTCCTCAAAAATCCAGTAACAATAGTACTGTTGCACTCAGGTTATGATTCATTTTTTTTACAAGGTCTCCTAACAATGGTACCATTTCACTTGGGCTACAACTCAGGTAAATTACTTACCAAGGCTAACACGAATAACTGCTTATCCTTTGTTCCTCACCAGCCTGGGTTGGGCAGCTGATGTTCCTGGTATGGTCAGAATTGTTCCTTCCTTTACCATGCAAGAGCACCCAGTATGGTCAGGGATACTTCCCCACCCAACTGGTACAGTTAAGGGGCACTTCACCGCTCAGCTGGTTCAACCAAGGCTTGTCAGAAGCTGCTGAGATCAAAGAGCAGGCCTGAAGAGGAGGTGAGGGAGGAGGATGCACCACCACAACAGATTACCTTCAATATTTTCAGCTTGCATAAACACCCAAAAATGCAGTCTCTTGTAGAAAAAGACATGCTGACTCTCTGAGTCATCTGAGTCAAGGCTTGTTTCAGGGGAAAACCAGAAATCCAGTATAATGTTATGTAAATCAAAAGCTCAGTAGCTCTTGAAACAAAGGCAACTCTTGAAAGGAACAATATATTGACTGTCTCATTTTACCAGTACCTCAGGCTGACCCCACACATGTAGAACTTTCTTTCATAAAAGTGCCTTTGTAACTCTTGAAGACACAGTCCACACAGTCAGCACTGGATAAAACAGGGGTAGCCATGGAACCTCTGCTCACAATGATGCAGCCTTCCCTCTACCATATAAATACACAGCTGCCCACAACTCTCCCTTTGTTTTATATCTACTGCCTACAACACAGAAGGACCACCTAAGTTACTTGACTCCCATGTAGTATGGCACAGAGGCCTCTTTTGATGAGTTTCTAAGTATTTAAAAGATGTTTCTTCATGGGCATTTTAGTTTACTTGGATTAAAGCGCTATTATTAAAGCATTTCTTTTCACTGTCTGGTTTATTATTTCCCCTTAGTTTCAATTTCTGTTATTCTTTTCCCTGCAGAAGATCTTTCAGAGCAGCTGATTAAGAGCTGTGACCTCAAAAAAAACCCAAGAAAAGGTAAAACTATCCTAGCTTCCCAAAATGCTGAACAGGAGCAAAAAAAGCCAAGGAGAAAAGATACACCAGCTTTGCACACTCCACCACCTCTAACAGGTAAGCAATAAATCTCTTGACTTTGAAATCCCAATTCAGCTGTGGGAACTGAATCTGAGTAAAATCCATAGACCCCTCATTCAGTTATGTCCCCTTGGATGCTGACAGAAACAGAGCTCCATGCATGTGTACCTCGGAAGGCAGGTGAACAGTCTGACTTCCTCAAAGGCATCCTCTGTTAGTTGAAGGGTTTGCTCACAGATCTGGGAATACCAAGGTGAGTGGGTGCTCCCTTGGAGCTTGTAGTCTTGCTGCTAAATGATGCTACATTTATGTGTTAAATGATGTGCTGAGCCATGCTCGATGTCCCAATTTGATATGGTCCAAAATCAAAATGGATCCAGCTCAGCTGCTGCACTTTCTCTTGAAACTAATACCCAGTGCTCAGAGGGAGGCTGAACTGGGATGAGGCTGGTAGTAGACCAAAGAAGCACACAAGCCACCTCCAGGATTTCCTGCTTCATCCAGGATTTCCTCCTAGAAATCACAGGGCTCATATGCTTATGGGGACTCTGGCAAAGGGTGGGTGTTTCAGGAAGCCAGAAATCACCACAGCAACAAAGGCGCTCCTTGTAGGATGCTTCCTGCTGCGGCATATCTACAGACGTTTGAGAGCCAACCTGGGGAAGGGAAGAATAAGCAGGAGATTGTCAGTGAAACCTGACGATCTTCCAAGAGCAGCAGTGGGAATAAATGTCACTCTGCTAACAAGCACTCCTTGTGCTCTCCAGGGAGAGAGTTGTGCTCTTGTATCATCGAGTTGTTCTTCCCATGCTGCACATACATAGAGGAGTGTTGCGGGTGGGAGTGGAAGGCTTAGACAAAAAACCCTGCCATCACGAGGTGCAGAGTCATTCAGGTGCCCTGAGTCACAAGGTGCAGAAAGGACTGCCTTGCTTTCTAAACTCCTTCTCAGAGAGGAGTCTAAATGCACCTGAATCCAATTAGCTGCAGATTATCTCAACAATTTAAATATAAGGAATTACAAAGGTGTGATTGAACCACTTTTGTCCCACAGGTTTAATGATTGGCAAAATTATAATTATTATTATTATTATTATTACAAATGATCAGACAAAAGATCTTAATCAGAATTATTTACTACACAATATAAACACTAAAACTACTAGTAGTATAGTATAAGATAGGATAGTGCACTATATCAATTATTGAAGCAATTTTATTAAAGCTAGCAAAAAGAAATAATTATTAAGTAAAGATTTGATGTAACTCATCCATACCAATGCTTGTAGGGAGATCTCTTTCTCTCAGCCTCTCCTCCCAAGAGAGGAGTCTCCGCACATAAACCCCAAGAAGGGTTATGTTAGAAGAACCTGACTGTATGAAAGGGAACTAGAACTTTATAATATAAGGTGACTGACTGCTAGTTAAAAATTTACAGGCCAGATACCACCTCATCTGTCATATCCAACTTCAAAAAGCAGGATCTGTGTTTGAAGTTTGGTGAACCAGGCTGGTGTTGCGCTCCAGATTACACTATAAACTGCCCAGAGCAGTTACATTTTTTATTTAAGACTTTTTAAAAGCCTTTTGGTTCATTATAACCTCTAATTAGCATCCAGAGAAAGAGTCACACACTCTTCTCTAAGAGATATTCTTTTTAATTTAGTGAGAAAAATAAGATATTTTGGAAAAAAGTTTTTACAGGAGTAAAATACAACCAAGAAAAAAGCATTTCACTAAATCATTCAGCACAAAGACCCATTCCACAGGAAACACCCACTAAAACAATCCATGTACCAGCTTTAGTAAAACACAGTTCATTGGTTTTAAGTTATCCATAAGAGAAGGAAAGGAGTAAAAGAAAACAGATTAAAAGCGGTAAAGAAAGAGAGAAGAAAGAGAGAAGGAGAGATGGGAAAGGAAAAAATGATTACCAACAAGATCCGATGATTCATATGGTGCTGGCTGGAGAGGGAGAAGAAAGAAGAGAAGAGAGACCGCATGGAGTCTTGTATATTTACAGAGTTCAGTTTTCCCTTCCAGGTAGGATATCCAGTCAGTGCCTTCCAGGCCAGAGTGAGTTGTGCTGTAGTCAGTCACAGGCTGCAGGAGTGTGGTGTGGGTGGGCTACCAGGCAGGTTGGACTTGACTGACAGTCTGGCTGCAGGGCGTTCAGCTCTGCCATGTGCTCTGCATGGGCAGCAGGCCTTGCCCTCCAGCTCTGCCCTGTGCCCTCAGCAGGCCTTATGTGCAGGCCTTACCATGTTCCTGCAGGTGTAGGCCCAGCCCTTCCCCCCATACACACACACTGACAGCAAGTTGGTTCCAACCCATATAAATAATTCAGTCAGATTCAGCTCCAGGATCTCACAGCTGGTTTTAGCATACTTGAATACCAAAAACATTACCATAGCACAACCGGCAACTTATCACAGACAGTTTGCATGAGAGCTTGCATTGTATGCATTCTGATTGGATTCTAGGCCTTATTGGAGTAGGCCCTCCTGCCACTAAGAGTTAGCCAGAAACTACTTGTATGGTTCTCTGTATTTATGCAACAATTCATCAAGTCAAAAACAAGTAGCTGGGATTTTCCAGTATTTGTAATCCAGATATTGAATTTGACTCTGTTCAGTTTTCACATGTATCAGCAATTCTCTTTTAGGGAAGAGTGGCTCAGAGGCCGAAGACCTGCATTTTGTGCCTGCAGCTACCATACCATAAAGAAAACACTGTTTCACTAGATAAAATAAGCCATTTCTGTGCAATCCCATTGTTCCCAACTAGAGGCTTGAGCATCTGTGTGATTAAGCTACTTTGACAAGATGTCTAAGGTTCTGAAATAGAAATCTTTACCATGATTTCTGATGGGCTGCAGTTTAGTGCATTAATACAACCAGAAGCTAGCTGGCCTGATAGCTTTATTGTCTACAGCCTATAATCAACTTGGAAGAAAAGTAGGGTAGGTATGCCACGCAGCAGATCATGCACTCATGCAGCCTTACATCAGAGTAGTCATTGGGAGAATTACACAGGTGTAAGTTTCTTCAATGTGAACTAGGCTAAAGTGGCATTTTTATTTTTTTTCCTCGCTTGCAGGCATACTTTCAGACTTTTCTGATACTCTGTTGAAAAGGTATGGTATCACAGAGAAGCCACAGAGAGAGAGAGTGAGTCCAGTCTCTCAGATCACTGAACTGGAGCAGAAAAAGCCCAGGAGAAAAGATACACCTGCAGTACACATCCCACCTTTGCTAATGGGTAAGAAACCTAGGTGAATGGTCCTCCAAAGAGGAAGCAAAAAGTGGCTAGTGTCAGAGGAATGCCTGGGAGGATGTTGCTCTCTGCCCAGTGTACTTAGCTGCTCTTAATGAACGGGACCTTTTTGGTCTAATAACAATGGTGGCTCATGAAAAGTCTTTTACATATCCCCTGCTCATGCTCTGGGGACAGAAAGGAAGGGAATTAAGAGAAGATATTTGGTCACTTGATCATCTTTTGCAAACTGTAATCCTACTTTTCTGACAGGCCAACTAATGCCCTGCTTTTCAAACCTCAGCACCTGTAAATTTTTAGGTCACCAGCACTATAATGCCTCAAACAACCTAAAGCAAAGCTGTACTGATTAACCTCCTCTTCACTCCACAGTTCCTGATACGCACTGAGAAAATCAAGCTGTGATGAACTTCTCATTAACAGCACCTTAAAAACAGTTCTGTGCTTCTGGCATAACGTGCAATACATACACGCTTACATAAGATGCTCCTAGGGAAGGGAAGCGAAAGGAAGGTGAAAAAAAAGTGGTGACCTACAAATGTGTGACAAAATTCAAACTCTGTGCATTTGTTATGGGGAAAATGAGAGAAACTAATGCAATTTTCAGTTGTTTTCAATTCTACCTCCAATGACACTTTCTTGCCTACTCGTGATGCCACCTTCCAGCACGCAACATGGATTCAAAGCAGCCTGCTAGATGCTGCCTCTCCATGTAAAGCTTTTTCAGATCCCGTATTTGGGTCTGTTTTCCAGTGATTGGCAGACTTGTGCCCATATCAGGGGCAAACTAACTTATGTGTTTGAATGCTTCAATTTCACTCCCTTCCTATTCTAAGGATGCATATTTTCTTTTCAAGATACATATCAACATACATCATTCTGCTTGTTGAAATTCATCAGTGATGGCTCCATGACTTGCTATGAAAAAGTGACTAAATTGTGGTTGAAGGCTGGTCCACTTGCTTACTTTCATAGTTATTCCATCAGGTAGCAGACAGCACAAACAAAATGAACTCTTTGGAACTGATATGCAAAATGAAATCTGAATCATAGACTTGGAGACCTGAGAAGCCCCAGCAGGGCTATGTGTGCTCAACAAATATAGGCAGGCCTTTCTGTCCTGTCCCCCTGTTATTGGAATATTTTCATTAAGCAGCACTCTCAGTGCTACATGGCCTCTCTTGTGACCTGCTAATGAAGATTGTCCCCATTTCTAACATTTTCCCTTCATATCCTCTGCAAACCACTTCTAGATGCCAAATCAAGGGTGATGAAAATCAGTGTATCTACTAGATGGTATGTGGTCAAAATGAGAAGCAGAATCAGTCTTACACCTTACAAACACCCAATACAATTGGGAAATGCAGGTACAGAAAAGGGGCTGCTAAATTAGTTATCTGAATTCTCCTCTACAAGGGTTAGGCTTCTAAATCTATTCAGCCTTCAAACTTCTACTGAAGTGCCACATATAACATTGTGCCATGTGCATACAAATAAACTATGAGCAGAAGTCTCCTTCAGTGGCCAGCTCGCCTTCAGTCAGCCACCACCTTTTCTGAAGGGATTAGACTAAAACACAAAATAGAATCACAATTCCACCGGTCTTTTTTCTGTCTCACCTAACAGAAAATGGCTTGAATCTGATCTAAGCCTGTAGTCATCTCTGGAACATTCTATTGTCATCCACACTTAGCAATATATTCCAGTAACTGAAGTATTTCTGAGAGCTCTTCAGGCCTGTGGGTTTGAGATACAATATAAATACATGCCTAAATATGGGAAGACAGTTCCTGAAATGTGGCTGCTTAGGGTTTCTAAATCAGGTCAGAGGTAAATAGCAAAACCACAGTTTCAAACCCTCATTCATTCTTATACCCTAGAAAACCAGATAAGGCAGCTCCTTTAGGATAACATCACAACCCCACTGAAAACCTCTGGGTAACATGAGAAGCACAGAAGTTTAATGTCACCTCTTACCTCTCCAGCAGGAGTTGTCCGTAGGCAGTCTGTAGACAGGTTCTATTTTGTTGATTTTCTGATTTATAGCCTAGGAGGAGTGGCTTAGATCTAGGGGGCACCTGGCAAATAGCTGATTTAAGCTGACTTCTTCTGCCTATGTTTGAGCTTCCTAACAGAAACTCTTATGTCTCTGTGAGCCTTTATGGTTCTAGTCTAGCTAAAAATTGCAAGTAGTTGCAAGTTCTGTTGGGAAATTATGACCACATTGTATTTACCTTCTCATTTCTTTAGTCAGATCCCTTGGCAGATATTAACAGAACAACCTACTGATCCTTAAAATAGATCTGCAGGATGAGTTGCATTTCATAGTACACACAGCTGGGAAAACAGAGGCACAAAGGTTAAGTGATTTATTTAATCAGTAAACAGAGAAAGACTAACTCACAAATGTTCCCCAAATCAAATGACCTTCTCATATCCTTCTGGTTCACACCCAGAACTTCTGAACTGCATTCAGTAAAGCACATTTTCTCCACAAGTGATCAGTGGCACTGTATCAAAGGAAAAAATCCTTTCCCAGTGTTACAGAAATAACTACAACTTTGACATGCCATTTGTATACCCTTTCCACTGTTTTGCATTAAAAGGTTGATTTGTCCTTGCAATTGTGGGTGGTCCATGGAAAGTTAATAACCTGCATCTCTGGGCTACATCCACGTCTGAGCTCTGAATCATGAACTCTACTGGAAACCTTTGGAGTTCATCAGTCACCAAAGTGATTAATTGGTAATGATCTTGCTATTGATTGTGGTGAGCGTCTGTGCTACTAGCGCTGAGACCTCTGCCTGCGTGTTACCTTTCAGCTGTCTCTAGCATCTGCTAAAAGGACTAGTTTATGTGCTATAACTAGGCCATCAGAATTACATAAACACATTTTTCCTTCATCACTTCATCATTTAAATAAGAGAGTGGACATGATCCATTTATTCAGTGTGCATATCTGATCTCTTATTCCTGATTTTACCCAAAAAGCAGGTTAGCTCTCCTCAAATCATCCATTCTAGCTTCACATTTTAAGCATGTTTTACTTATGTTTTCCTTGTTCCTCAAATGCTCCATGACATAAAAAAAACAACATAAACCCTCCACTCCCTCTTAAAAGACAAAACCCAAACCCCAAAGACAACAGTAAAAAAAATTTGTCTATATTTGCCTAAGTTGTCTATAGGAATATTAGTCTGTGTGGGGCACATTTACATCCATCTCCATAAAATGTCACCATTCATTGCAGTTAACAATGGTGGTTACTCAATTACTTCTTGAACAAATAAAGTCCTTTGTGTTTCAAATTAACACTTATTTATGCCTTTCAGTTTATTTCATAGTGCTAGTTCACAAGAACTGCATATAAATGGAGTTAACTTAAATGAAGGGCAGTATAGGTTGATATTTTCATTAATTCATCACCCCTGAAAAGATTCTAAAGTTAAAGAAAATCTACCTCTGTGGTATTGCCCTATTTTCAGACCTTGGCAAGATTGAAAGCCTTCTCTGTAAAAGAGTTTTTGATGCAGAAAGAAGCAAAACAGGTTGCTTTGACAGAACAGCTCACCTGGTATCAAACATGAGGAGACCAAATTTGGGAGAGATTTCATTGGTCTCAACACAATGATATCTCTCATCCTGTTTGTAGACTATGTCAACATCCACACCAAGGAATGTGGACATAAAATTCATCACACAAGTCACTTGTTTTTTACTGGAAACAGGCAAATCCAGCACAATATGTTAAAATAGAGTTCAAGAACATTTTGTACCTAATGCATTGTTCTCACTTCATTCTTATTTATTTTCTAAATGAAAAGAGCATTTACAGTATTTGTGATATCTTGGTATCACACAAGAGCCTCAAGACCCCTATAAGGTGGACTTACCAGTTCAAGTATAAAAGAGAAAAAGAAACAGAAGGAAGGAGAGACAGAGATTTGTGGAAGGTATAATCTACAACCCAAGTCTGTTTTCACATTGTTCAGTAGCTTTTGCAATTTATTGATACTATATAACTTCAGTGGAGATGGCACTTGTCACGTTGGTGTTCTAACTTTTGTCTCTTTTATCATCTGCACTTGAAAAATCTCAGTAATATGGCTATATACTTAGAGGAAACATATACACATTCACATAAGCTAGTTGAGTCACAAAGATTAATCACAGCATTTACTTAATCAGGCAAGCTCTTTCCCTTATTTAGCTCCTCAAACCCTTTTAACAAACAGGTTCCTCAGTATCTCTTTTCATATATAGGAAAAATATGCTGGATTTAAGAGTGCCTAATAATTTTAGCTAAAAATGCAGTGATTCAATTCTAGTTCACTAAATATCAGGAGATCAAAGTGCTGAAAATAAATGAGGAGTAACTCCCATGATATTGGAAAACTATGTTAGGATCAAGAAGTAAGAGAGGACTGAAAAATTCTTTTTAGCCTGGTACTGTCTAAAAAGTAGTATGCTAAATCAACTCCTTTTTTCCTCTTTTTTTTTTTTTTTTGTGTGTCCTTCTGTTTTTAAGGCACTAAGCTGTTTACAGAAGAAGAACGAACAGTGATTATGGAAGACGAAGAAAAGGATGGAGACACAATCCACAGTTAAGATTACAGTGATATTTCCAATAATGCAGTGTAAATAATTCTGGGTCATTCAAAGTGGCAGCACATAGAAAAGAAAGTTCTTTCATTTTTATAAATAATAATTTTCTCAAGCATGCACTCGATTTTAAACTATCATCAAGCGTTGATCTGCATCTCATGAATTTCCAGCAAGCATCATAGGAGATGATGACAGAAATTTCACTGACACCTGGGGTTTGAATGATTCTGTTGGTTTACTACAAGTGGCTTCCCAGCATTTCTGTAAATTAGGAATCCATCTCAGAACAGATCTAGCTTTGTGCAATGTGGTGATAAGGGTTAATACAAAGGACAGCACTCATAGAGTGTACCTGGAACTAGATACCAGAGCAGTAAAACATTAACTAATGATTCGAATAGCATTTTTCTCCTGACATTTTACCTAATTTGTCCAGCTTTCCTCTTCTGGAATAACACTGACCACAGTGAAAATTTCCATGTGCAAAGCTGATGTGATAGATGGAGAAGGTGTGAGAGCAGGAGCCAGACCCTGAAATTGAAAGCAAAAATTTCTTCTGCCTGTATCTGCTCATGACTTGTGTTTGTGAGGAGGAAAAGAGAGATTCACTGTAGAATGAAAATTTACATCTAAGGGCTGTCAGTACTGACACATCAGGATGGAGGGAAGAGCTCTCAGAAGAGAAACATCAGGGAAGTGCAATGCCTGCCTGTTACATCAGTGTAAACAACTGTCTCCACTGGTCAGTGAAAGATAAAATAGTTGGATAGTTGATCCTTTTGCTTCAAATAATTTCTTTTGACATCTGCTTTTTAAATTGAGTTCTAGGTCAGTTAGAAGAGGTGGAAAAGATTGAAAATCTTTTGGAAAGTGGAAAGTGACAACTGAGTAATAGGAATAGTGTTATTCAATGGCATATGCCTACTGCAAGGTGGAACAGCACCATGTGATTCTTTTTATTAGTTTACCTCATTGATTCAATCAAGAATTTTCACAGCGAGCTACAGCCTGGTAGAATGGCCAGTTTGTGCTTACCTTAATAGCTCTGGGATAGACAGAGTAGCACTGCCAGCTGGGCCCTTAGGGACCTGAGCAGAGAGGTTGAAGATCGTAGAATCACTGAATTATAGAATTAACCAGGTTGGAAAAGACCTCTGAGATCATCAAGTCTAACCCTTGATCCAACACTGCCGTGGTTACTAGACCATGGCACTAAGTGCCACATCCAGTCTCATCTTAAAAACCTCCAGGGACGGTGAATCCACCACCTCCCTGGGCAGCCCATTCCAATGTCTGATTACCCTCTCTGTAAAGAATTCATTCCTAATATCCAACTTAAACCTCCCCTGGCAGAGCTTAAGACTGTAAATCATCTAGCCTGGCAGACTGAATTTAGTTATCTTTTTAACTCTCTTAGGTAGACAGCTGAGGACCGAACTAGTTTGGACTTCATTTGCCACAGTGACTGACCCAGCATCTTTCATGTGAATGCAGTCTATTCACAAATATCGAGCTTCAAGATGTAATCAACAAGCTTATAATAAATAATTGCATATTAAAGTGTACAAGAGGCCTGCTATATTATTAATGGGATACCTGATAACTAGGAGGTGTACTTGTTTTTATCCTGTTAACCTATCAGTGAGATAATATTTAACATACAATCAATAGTTCATATAACAACAGTAATGTAGGGTACACAGTAAAGTATGTCACATCAAGTATGTGAAAAAAAATACGTGTGACTGAAGTCTAGCTTTACCAGTGAAACTGGTGAATATTTTCAGTGCACAATACAGCAAGAGTGAGAGTGTGGAATCCTGAAAAGATTCAAATGAACATCAGCAATGTTAGACATGAAGGCCCTTAACAACACAAAGCAGGAGCACAAATAGGATGTGACTGACTTCACTGCTCTGAAAAGGATTTGTTTCCAAGCCTGGGGAATTCTGACACAGCTTAATAGGGAAAAAAAAACCAAAACAACAACAAAAAAAGCACCCTTTAAGCCTAGCACTATATGTTGTTCAGCAAAGAGGACTTACAGTCTGAGTGACATCTCTGATGGCACACCAGCCTAATTTACCATCCCTGTATAGATCAACTCGAAGTCCAGACATAAAAATGCTGCAACACACATCATATTCTGCAATTCTTTTAAAACTGCATATTCACAACCTGGCAATTCAGCATTTTCTGTTCTTCCACTCAGGAGCAACATAAGCAATTAAAAGTAATTTTTCACTTGATCAATTAAGTTAATAGAAGGTTTCGCAATGTTCCTGGGAAGCAGTGTGATGAATCATTTGTCTGCTTCCACATGCTTCATTGCAGTCAGTTAAAGTGTTAAATGTCATTTTGTTTGGGAATAAAATAATTTTTTTTCAAATGAGGCAGACAATTCCCCTTCCCCCAAAACAAAGCCTTTAGGTTTTGCAGAATCATGTGTGAACTCTACAGTGGTTTATTGGGTTTATTTATTGTCATTCAGTCTCCATTTAAGACCAGATAGTGCTAAAACCAACAAATTGCTCTCCCCAGACAAATGACAGGAGTTGGTTTGTTCTGGGGCAGAAATGCTTTTGTATCCAGTGTCCCCAAAGGCCATTACAGCAAAAATGAAAGGAAACTGAAAGCACAGACACACCTAAGCATTTCCATAGGACTGTTAGGACTGGGATGCTCCAGACTGAAGTCACTTACGTTGTCTGCTATGTGCATTGACTGCTTTGTGTCTTGATAGCTGGCTTGCATTCAGATATTTATCTGGAATGGCATCTTAACCCAGAAGTCTGCACTGGGTGGGACAACCACTCCAAGCCCTCAGCAGGGAATGAAGTGCTTCAGTTAGTGAATAAAAGACTGCAGTCAGGAGATCATTAATGGCTAATATTTTTGAAGTGAATTCTCAATTAGCGTCTACCTAGAAACTAAGACACAGGTGTCCATTTACAATAAAATTGGGACTAAGGGATTTAATGGCCTTATGCTTTAACAACTTTCAACTAAGGGTTACAGAAAGTCCATCACCTATTTGAAGGGGTTGTGATGAGCATTTTTGTAGTGCTAAATATGAGATTCATGGGATATGTGGAACAAATTCAAAGCAACATTCATGATGCTATTGTAAACTCACACTATATTCATAGATAAAGCACCATTTGCATGCACTGAGTTTAGCAAAAATCACAATGAATTTATGTCTGGTTGAAATTTTGTCTTAGTGGTTAGTAAATTGATAATTGTATAATGCTTTGACCACATAAATTAATTGATATGTTTAGATATCATAACAGATCATCTTCCTGCGTGTTCTATGCCATCCCTACCTTTTGTGATTACACTTTTTACACATGACCTTACAGTATTCTTGTATGCAGAGAGACTGCCCAGCAATACCATCTACAAGCAAAAATCAAAAAAGCATGTCAGTGAAGCACATTAGAAATTTTGGCTTCTCACTTGTATTTAGATAAATTAATAAACAGATATTATTCTGTTCCTCACATCCCTCCCAAAAAGCCATAGGCCTTTTAAAGTGAGGTGGTGCAAACAGAAATACCAATATTTTGGCAATGTAGATCCAGAAATAGAACGAGTGAACATTTAAAGCCAGTTTCTACCCCATGATACTGGCTTCTGGTCCTGCATGAGGAACCCATGTAGTCTGTCAGATCCAGGAGCTGTAAAGGGAAGCTTAATCCATCCTTATTCCTGACATCCCGAAAAATCCTGAAAAGACACAGACTGGACAGAGAGACAAGTGACCGCTAAATTATTATGCACATTCTAGAAATAAAAGAACTGCATTTGATGGAGCATTTGTGCTTATTCTTTCAGCTGCAATGATCCTCTGAACGGCAACGTGTATATATGACTGTGAGACACATTACTGTGAGCTTTGGATTTTTCCAAGCTGTCAATTTTTTTCCGACCTTCAAAGAAGATTTTAGGCCCCTAGGTGGTCTTAGTGTCTGAAACAAAGTTATACCTGCCACAGGTTTGTTTTTCTGTATTCTGTTTAGCCTGGAGAAGAGAAAGCTTAAAGGGAAGTTATCAATGCATATAATAATGCACGCAAATGTCTGATGGGGAGGAATAAAGAGGGAGCTCTTCCTATTGGTATCCACTGACAGGACAAGAGGCAGTGGGCACAAACTGAAACACATGGAACACCACTTACAAGTAAGAAAACATGGTTTTGCTACTGAGCACTGTCACAGATAGTCCAGAGAGGTTGCAGACTCTCCATCCTTGGATATTTTCAAAACCAAACTGGACACAGCCCTGAGTAACCTGCCTCAGTGCAGCCTACTAAAACTGGCCAACTCCAGAGGCATTGATCATGCTTCAGTCATTCCGTGACTATAGCCCAGGATCCATACCAAGGGGGCTTCTTAGTGATGCTTAGCAGGTCTGTGAGAGATCAGGAGAAAGGTTTGGAGTAAAGGGAGTGATTGTCAGCTGAGTTAAAAATTCACAGAAAGTTCACAATAAATATAATTTAGTTTTGAAACCACAACAATGGGCTGCCAGAGCAATGAGGAGTCCCAAGGAAAAACACAAAATATAAGGAATCAAGGAATAAGTACTCAAGAGTCTTTCTGTGCCTCACTCACCATGGATTTTAACATTCATATTTTAATTCAGGCTTTAATCCTTTCCTAAAAAAATAAACAAAGAACTACTCCTCAAATAACAGAGTGACAAACTTTTCTGCTGTAGTGAAGTGATCCAGTGATTAGAGCAAAGACTCTGTTCATGAATGGACTATAGAGAAAAAAAAAAAAGATTAAATTTGCAAGTGTTGATAGTTGTAATGAGTTTGTGATAACAAATTTAAATGTCATCATAGACCTAAGATCATAAAATTTGTCTAGACAGACAGACTTATTTTTATGCTGGGAGCAAGTGGTTATCTCCAAAATCATAAATACAAAAAAGGGTCAAATGCATTTCAAAGCTGGCCCTCCCCCAGATAACACGGATTTCATTTGTGGAAAATTTTCCTTTGTTGTACATTAGATGTCAGGGTTGGACTGAGAGGATAAGTCCATCGACTCCATTACACATCTCTATGCATCAGGCTGGATGCCAT